AACCTGACGATGAGATTGTGCATGCGATGGCAGCCACATACACTTTCAAGGTGGAGGGTGACAGCCTACGCTCCAACCTTTCTTGCAGGAAAGAAAGCACTACTCCAATCGTGCTTCTACGGGGGTCTTCTCAGCGAGAAGAACACCAGTTCGCGAACAGACTCCATTACAGAGCATAGGCTTGCCTCATAGAGTGATCGTGTTAACCACCGCAGGTGACAGATCAGCTAGGGCTGCCGCGTCCTGTCCAGGATCCACACGTGGAGGTTCCAACAGTCTGGACGCGGGTGCCAAATGGTGCTGAGCCCCTGAGAGAGCAGGTCCTGTCTCAGGGGGATGCGCAAGGGAGGGGCTGTCGCGAGGAGCATGAGTTCCGGAAACCAGGTCCTGGTGGGCCAGAAGGCGCAACCAGTAAGACCTGCTCCTCATCCTCCCTGACCTTGCACAGTGTCTGCATACTTGCGAAGAGCCCGAGGCCAGCTGTGTGCCAGTGCGTCCGTGCTGAGGTCGGCTGCATGACTGAGCTCCCCCGGAATGTGGACGGCATGCAGCGATTTGAGCCGCGTCTGACTCCAGAGGAGGAGATGGCGGGCAAGCTGTGACATGCGACGTGATCGTAGACCTCCCTGCCCTACCCATAGGGAGGTATCATGTGGAGACACTGATATGGACTGACCCAGGCCTGGGGCAGTACTACATATGGAATGGAACTCTGAGGTAGGTCCTACCTGAGAATAGGGAGGAACGACTGCCAGCAGAGCCTGACAGAATGGTCTGTCAAAGGGAAGCAACGGGTTCACAGAGAGGGAAACCTTACCATGGAAGAATACACATATGGGCATATATACAGCGCATCGGCTGCACGATTGAGCTTCCCCGGGATGTGGACAGCATGCAGTGACTTGCGCTGTGTCTGACTCCAAGGGAGGTCCAGGATCCACACGTGGAGGTTCCAACAGTCTGGACGCGGGTGCCAAATGGTGCTGAGCCCCTGAGAGAGCAGGTCCTGTCTCAGGGGGATGCGCCAGGGAGGGGCTGTCATGAGGAGCATGAGTTCCGGAAACCAGGTCCTGGTGGGCCAGAAGGCGCAACCAGTAAGACCTGCTCCTCATCCTCCCTGACCTTGCACAGTGTCTGTGCGAGAAGGCTCACTGGGGGAAACGCATACTTGCGAAGAGCCCGAGGCCAGCTGTGTGCCAGTGCGTCCGTGCTGAGGTCGGCTGCATGACTGAGCTCCCCCGGAATGTGGACGGCATGCAGCGATTTGAGCCGCGTCTGACTCCAGAGGAGGAGATGGCGGGCAAGCTGTGACATGCGACGTGATCGTAGACCTCCCTGCCGGTTGATGTACAAAATCGCCGCAGTGTTGTCCGTGCGGACCAACATGTGCTTGTCTTGCAGCAGTGGCCGTCACCAACGCAAGGCTAGTAGCACTGCCAGCAACTCGAGGCAGTTGATGTGCCAAAGTAGTCGAGGCCCTGTCCAGAACCCCAAGGCTGCCTGCCCGTTGTATGTAGCACACCAGCCCGTACTGGAGGCATCCGTCGTGACAACGACATGCCGACACACTTGTTCTAAGGGCACCCCGGCCCGTAGAGAGACAAGGTCCATCCAGGGGCTGAATGAGCGGCAACATGTTGGCGTGATGGTCACGCGAACTGTACCGTGGCGCCATGCCCACCTCGGGACTCAGGAGTGTAACCAGTGCTGAAGTGGTCTCATATGCAGCAATCCGAGCGGCGTGACTGCGACTGCGGATGCCATATGCCCCAGGAGCCTCTGAAAGTGTTTCAGTGGTACCACTGTCCTGCCTCTAAGAGAACTCAGGCAGTTCAGCACGGACTGGGCACGCTCATTGGCGAGACGCGCCACCATACTCACCGAGTCTAACTCCATACTGGAAAAAGAGATTATCTGCGCAAGGGAGAGCTTGCTCCTTTCCCAGTTGACCCGAAGCCCCAACTGGCAGAGTGCCAGAGCACTAGGTCCCTGTGATCACACAACTGTTCTCGCATGCGGACCATGCTCGAGATAGTTGAGGATCCTGATGTATGCAGGGCAAATTTTGTAAAATAGGAATTGATTATTGACAATGTGCAATTTAGCTTTTGCTTGTGTACCTCCTGAGGGTGATTGCAACATTGGATGATGTTGAATGAGGTCTAAGGTTTTGCCTTGAAGATGTTGCCTCCTCCATCAACACCAAATATTCTTCCTGCAAACAGAAAAGAAAAATGTGATGTTCTACTGATAGAATTCTTGGCTGTTGGGAGTAGTCACAAATAAAAACACCCCTTAGAAGTCAGGGGCATATTGAAATGTGGAAGCTAGTTCATTAAAAGGTCTTCAAAGCAAAGTCTGCAAGGCTACAGTGGTACTGGCTGACAAGTCCTGAATATCAATCGTTACTATTGAAGTAATACTATTGAAGTAATACGTTTTGCAATTGTCACTGCACAGGTCTTAAAGATAGTACAAAACAAACCTGTTATTAAAATGCACAATACACAGTCTTGTAGACTAGGGTGAATGTCAGGGCCGCTTCATCGACTTCTTAGACGACTTAGCGGCAGGCTGGGTCATGGGGGAGCCGCACTCAACGCTCAAGAGCGGCTCAACGCGCTGGCCTTGATGTTGTTTCAGCATGGGACGGAGTGACTCTGGAGGACGCAGACTGGGGCTTGGCCCACAGCGGAGCGGTGGCAGATGGTGCATCACGCCGGGGCAAGATGTGTTGGATGGCCTCGGTCTGCTTCTGTACTGTCGAGAACTGCTGGGCACAGTCCTCGACGGCGTCGCCGAACAGTCCAGCCTGGGAGACGGGAGCGTCGAGAAAGCGCACTTTGTCGACATCGCTCGTCTCAGCAAGGCTGAGCCATAGATGGCACTCTTGGGCCACAAGTGTGGACATAGCCTTCCCGAGGGGCCGCGCTGTGACTTCCGTCGGGCGAGGTCAGTCGCCAAGCGTAGCTCCTGCATCAACCTCGGGTTGGTACTGCCCTCGTGCATTTAAATGCCCTGGCTTGGTGTACTCGCAGGATAGCCATGGCATGCAGAGCAGAGGCGGCTTGGCCCGCAGCACTGTAAGCTTCGGCCGCGAGAGCGGCTGTCAGCTTACAGCTTTGGACGGGAGACGAGGACAATTCCTCCAAGTGGCGGCATTTTGCGGGCACGAGTGCACCGCAACTGCACTCTCCACCTGGGGAATGTCAACGTACCCCCTAGCCGCCCCGCCATCGAGGGTAGTGAGGATGGAGGGAGACAAGTGGCTTCTGGCCGAAAAAAGGGGCTGTCCACGACTTCATCAGATCCTCATGCACCTCCGGGAAGAAAGGAACCAGGGCAGGGCGTGGTCACGAGCCTCGACCCGTGCCGAGGAACCAATCATCCCGCCGCAAGGGCTCGGGACCGGAGGTGTGCACGCCTCCCGCCCGATGCTCGCGGCGGCCTGGGAAAGCACGGCCGTCAGCTCTGGGTCCGATTCGGCAGCGGCGGCAACACCTGAGGGGGGCAGCCCAGCCGAATCTTCATCCTCAGAGGACGATTGCCCATCCCCCGATGCTGCTATCGACATCTGATCCTCTATCGGCGCGCCGAATGACACGTTGGGCACGCCGTAAGACGGCACAGCAGAATCACTGGGGAGCTGCACAGAACAGCTGCTGCGGGAGGAATGAGAGGTCCACGGGGACTGACCCAGCGGAGAGGCTCTCACTGTAACCCTCAGATCGCTCCCAGAGCACTAGCCGACGGTTCTCTGCTCGTGGCAGAGAAGCCAGCGCGGGTAGTGACAGAGGGAGCCCCTCCCATCCCTGTGAGGAGAGAGAGGCGCGATCGCAGCGCTGCCATGGTCACACGCTCACAGTGAACGCATGAACCATCCACAAACGCAGCTTCAGCGTGAGCCACAACCCGAGCCGAGGAACCAATCATCCCGCCGCGAGGGCTCGGGACCGGGAGGTGTGCACGCCTCCAGCCCGATGCTGGAGGAAACAACCGCAACCACAGCCAGAACGGCATCTGTAAAAAGACGCGAACCGACCGTGATTTGCTCTTTTAGGAAATCTGCTCTTTTAGTTGAAGTGCCCAGGGGAATCGCTGCAGACAGGGACACCGCTGTTCGCACCGTGACGCCAACCAGAACAGCTTCCAGACAGATGATGAATGGCTTTGTGGTGATCAACACAAAAATCTGAAGAGTGGATGCACCTGTCGCCTATTTATACCCGTATGTACGGGGAGTGGCTCAGGTATGCAAAATCCACTAGCCAAATTTCATTGCCGTTTTCTCTTAAAGTCAGAGATGATTGGGGCTCCCAAGTGAATCCCCATAATGTCGATCACGACATAACTCGTAGTGACCGGCAGATATGGAACTGAATCTCTGGATTAAAACACGGCAAAGAAGCAGCAGAAACAAGTGATCGCGTATTTCAGCAGATGCATATGTAAAATAATGCAAACATTAAACAGCATATAAATCAAACCTGCCTAAAGTTACCGAATGAAATGATGATTTAGGACTGTGAAGCTTTGGGAGTGTTGATGCAAGTGATTTACTCCATCTATGTTTTGATCATCAATCTGTATCTGATTTGATCAGCTTTTTGTTCAAAATGTTGCCTTTTTATGAACACTCACCCACCTTCAAATGTTGATAAAATAAGAATGCATAAAGCTAGGTCTTTTGTTTAAAAGCAGAGGCTCTGTTTTTTATTTTGACATATTGCATAACCTTGAGAGTGCGGGACAGCGCTGGGCTCTTTGAACTCCTCAGAGAGAAGAAGAGACTGAGCAAGGCTTTTCCATCGCTCTCCTCAAACACGATCTGCTCGCTGAGTCCCGCAGCCTCCGCCGCCGCGGCCGCCGCCTCGCGCTCCTTCCGCGCATCCTCGATCAAACTCTGCCGCCTTCCCACAAACTTCTGCGACTGTTCGAAGAGAAGAGCGCGATTCGTTTCAGGACCACACATTCATTTCGATCCATTTTAAATATCCATCTAGAACAGAAATAATAATAATATAGCCCTGCTTACCTTCTGGACATCAGATGGAGGTGTTTTACATCTCCAAAAGCGCATAAGAACTTCAATGCAGTCTATGTAAACCTGTCATATAGCTCAGACTTAATCATTTGTTTATGAGCCGATGTTACAGCCACTTATAGACTGCTTTCCGTAGCTTTCGATCACCGCGTAATACTGTGCGTAAATCTCAATGGAGAGTCCATTCACGCACAGCAAAGCAGTGATAAAAAATGCTACACCATTTTCAATAATATCCGAGAAGTTGTTATTTCACAAAATATTACTCAAATGTATGCATTTAATTGCATTACATACACTCTAAAAAATGCTGGGTTGTTTCAACCCAACCTTGGGTCAAATATGGACTAACCCAACTTTTGGGTTAAAAATTTTATAAAAAAATGTAACCCAACAGCTGGGTTAGTCCATATTTGACCCAAAGTTGGGTTGAAACACCCCAACATTTTTTTAGAGTGTAATATCAAACTTAATTGGCACCTGCAAATTAATGTAGAACTAACTTCATGAACGACACTCTGTAGTTTTTATTCTCATTTTGTATTTATTTATTTATTCATAATGTATAAATCTGTATACTTATGTCATTATTTTATATAAAAAACCAGTAATTTTTAACAAGCAAGAAAATGAAATAAAATTCATACATTTTTAAATGTGGCATATTTAAATACTTTTGGGATTACGGAATTTGCATTTCTTCTGTATTAATTAATTAATGTAGTCATAATCAGTATATATTTTTTTTCATGACGAAACTCCCATTATATTTAAGGCGTAAAAGCGTTTTCATTTTATTATAATAAAAGATTCCGAAATTGACGAGGAGGACAGATGTCAAATTATTCTTTGTTTTTATTGTTATTCTTAATTCTAACGCTATTTAAGAGGAATGAATGTAGCTGAAGACTCTTACCGTAATGGAATCGGAGCGCTCGAGTTCAGACGCAGCTCTCCGGACGCTCTTTGTGGAAGATGTGGAGCTGCTTGAATTCGGCATATCGGAACAGATGAAGGTTAACTTGTGCTCTCTTGGGACTGCTGCTCACTTACTTCCATCTGTAGCTTTCTTTCCCTCTTATTTATAGAGATGATTTCTCCTGCCTGACGTCAAACTGATCCCCTCCTTCTCCGTCATTGAACATGTCGAAGCTCCTCACACCACATTTGTTCATTATTTGATTCTGACTTTGCTACGTAACTGTCTGCTTACATTTCCAGCGCGTGTCTCACTAAATCATTTTCCTTTGCCAATTATTAGCGTATGAATGAACAACCTGCACTGTAAAAAGTGCGGTGACCTGCAATTTTTACCTTAAACAGCAACATTTACATGATTTGACCCATAAAGATTTGTTTTGTTGGTATAAATTAATGTATTTAGTATTAATTTATTTCAAATAATGCCTTTAGGTTATTTATTTATTTTTAGCAAAAATAAAAACTAAAAATAATTTTATTTTTTAAATGATTTTTATTTTATTTTATGTGTGTGTGTGTGTGTGTGTGTGTGTGAAAAATATATATTTTATTTTTACTTATTTTATTTATTTACTTTTTTGTTGTTTCATAAATTGTTTAATATTTCATAGCTACAGTTATAGTCATATTTTTTTCCTGTTAAAATTTAACTGTTTAAATTGTGCTGAAATGCTTACAATATAGACTTGAAAGGAAGGCTATACAAAATTACCCAAAGAAATATAATTTATTATTGTTAATAACATAACAGATAAACCCATCCCGGTAATATTCAGTTTAATATTCAGAAATGTAGATTGATTGATTGATTGATTGATTGACTGATTGATTGATTCATTCATTCATTCATTCATTCATTCAGAAAAGAGATTTATCAGCCAATTAGCATCATTAAAATGTTTAATTTACTGTCTATAAAACATTTGAAAAATAGCAATTAAATTCAGAAATTTTTGTTTGTTTATTACATCATACATTCATTCATCCATCAAAAAAGAGATTTGTCAGCCGATCGACATCATTAAAATGTTATATTTAAAACATCTGAAAAGAAATTGTTTTGTGATGATCACCAATTCATTGATAACTCTGTCACACAGACAATATATATATATATATATATTACAAAAGCCATTGTTTCACTTCCCTTTTTTAAAATGTTGCCCATACATGTCTAGTTACTTTTCTATAGGTCTTAGATACTTGGCATTTAAAATGTTTTATCTAAAGTGACTTATAATACACCAATTGCAATGACAGTCAGCCTGGAGCAAGCTGTGGTCGAGAGCTGATGATGATAGAACAGGACTTACTACTTTAGATTGAACCTCCAACCTTTGTTTTAGCAGCCCAGACCATTAAACATTATCCAGTCACCCTGAGGGTCTAACATTTATGTTACATGACATGAGCCAGAGCTGGGTTACTTTTAAACCTGATGAATACAAATCAATTTGCAACTCAGATAAAAAAAATTTAAAAAAAGTAAATAAATAAAAACAGATAGAGGGCTGTACGGCACCAAAAAATGGTATACAATTCAGAAATATATATTTCTTATTTAAATAAAAACAGCTCTTCTAATGCACCATAAAAACGTTCATGTGACTGGCAAAATGTCTTCCCTTCAAACAAAAGGAAACAAAAGTCAACTGTGGAAAATTGAGTCACTTTATCAGCTGAAGCGAAAATCAATTGTCATTTTCCTCAGCAACTATAATTGCGATTAAAACCTTCCAGTTGTTTTCTGTCTTGTACCTGAACATCAAGTGTTCCCTTGAACAGTTTGATGTGTAAATTGATTAAAGTCATGATGCACAGAGCCCTGCGGTCCGGACGCTAAAAGGATTACCAGCAATTTTGGCAACAGCTGGAAAAGCGCTAGGGCTCTGGTGGTTTGTGAGATGAAATGCTAAAGAGTACTTATGTACCCTCGGGGCCATGTGCCAAAAGACTGTCCTTTACTGGGAGGGGCAGAGGACAGGAAAAGATAACGCAGAGTGACATTAAAAGAAAGCACTCTGATTTTCTGAATTGTTCACAGTTTGGGGATGAAATGCAGCTGAACTTGTGTTTGTCTGATCTCTAATGATCTCATCATAGGAAGGCAGCGGATGGTGATTTGGAGTCTAAAAAGACATTTAAGGGTTTGCTGTTTTCAAACTGTGGCTTTAGAAAGTGATAAAAGTTTAGGAGTTTAGATTTCCGAGGTCAGTGAGAAAATATGAAATTAATGTTGAAATTAACGGGAAAAAAATTCAAATACTAATAAGTTGCACATACAAAATACAATAGTGCATACAATTACAATACAACAGTATTGTTTAGTTCAGTTTACATCACCTTCATTAATTAAATAAAAACATAAAATTGAAAAAAAAAAAAAAAAACACCCAATGCATGTTCTTCATTCATCATTTTGTAGAAGTACAGTTAAAAATTCTTGCGTCGTAATAGAGTGCATAAGTGCTCACCCACTTTTTCCCATTCATTTTTTCCCACCAAACCAACCAGCTACGAGCTGAATCACAATATTACAAACTTTGATTTGAAGCCAAACATATTTGAAAATGGGACAAAAAGGCACAAGGTACAAGACTGTGTACTTAATGTCTTTAATAAGGGAAAGAACCACAATCCTATGAAGCATTGCGAATGACATAGTCAACAATCACTAACTCAATCACAACAATCACAAACAATCTCAAACAATCACTAACT